ATATTTACTCTAACTTTTTTTGAACTCGATTCAGCTACAGATTCTCTTTGGGTTTTTCTCCCAGCAAATATATTAGGAGGTTTATTAATTTCTTGAACGTTATCATTTTCATCATTAACGAATTCATCATTAACGAATACATCATCATTAACAAATTCATCATTAACAAATTCATCATTAATGGGTTCATCATAAATAGGTTCAGATTTATCATAAGCACCGTGTTTATTATCACTATCCATAATTAGGTTTGGATCAAATATTTATATTTGGTTTATTTTTTTTTTATACTAATATATAACTTTATTATTTAGTCTTAAACAAGTATAACTTAGAATATTAAGAAACTGCTTAAATACTAACATAGAGTTATTTTATCAAGGCAAGAAAATGTTTCTTATATATATAATTTTTGTTATACAAATATTTGAATATTAATTCTCTAAAGCTCAAATATATCATGTACGAGAACAAGAGCTTTCCATATTTACAACAATAAGTTTTTCTTTAATTTGAAAGTTGTTTAATTACGCCAGTAATTAGACCCAAAAGGTTCACCAAGATTATATTATATCGGTAAGTTCCTTGTTATCATTTCTTTTTTCACATAAAAAAATTTTGGATTTTATTTTTCTTATAGTGATTCTGTAATTTTATGTGTATTATTAATTTGTAAATTGCATAAACTATGCCATTACCTTATACAGTAACCAAAAATCGATATTCTGCATAATTATCACTTTTTTGGATTGCTTTGATCTATTTAATTTGTATTATTTCCTTTTTTTATCTTTTATTTCTTTTATGTACGATTTTCATCAACGCATAATCATTTACTTTTCAGGTATGGCTTAGATGTATTAATTTAATTTGTATTCTTTTTTGTCTTTATATCTTTGTATCTAATCATACGATTTTTATATTTTATCTTTTAATCTATCACACTGCCACATCTATTACTATATAGATAGTACTAAGCTCAAAAAGAAAATTTCAACAATAACACTTAATTATTTATTATTTTAACTTTTTAATTTTTAGCTTCATATCTTCTGGCCATCTCTACCAACATATAAGCATCGATTAACAAGCTATCTAGATAGGAATTGGCTGATTAATATGTATATATCTGAACACAGAGGTAAAGTAAATAAATTAATGTGCAAATGAAGTTTTCTATGACTTTTGCATTCATACTATATAGGCTAACAGAATATTTGGTGAATGAGATAGACATAAAACAGCCAATCTGCAAATAATTTATTCTAAGCTAAGTATAATTTAATGATGCTTAAAAAATAAATTACAATAAATAAATTAATATGTATATTTTTAATCTTTAGTGATTATAATATATATTTTTTTTTATTCATATTTAGGGCTTAAATGTAATTAATATATGCTGATCAACCGACAGACCGATACAATACTCAAGATACTAGGACATGAATCAAGGAATATATGAAGCGATGACAAGAAGACAGACTAAAGTAAGAGATATTCCTTTTATTTACTACACTAACTTCCAACTATTTGCTAATTACTAATACGATTCTAAATGACTACATTTTTTTATGCAACAATATTTTTATAACTACATTTTTCATGCAACAATAATACTGATTACTAATTTAACAATAACTCGCATAACAGTGATCCGATCTGAGCTAAAAGCTCAGTTTGGGCTCCGGTAAGACTAAAATCACGGGTCACGTCATGGGTTAAAGGCTTAGATCGTGACAACAGCTTCGTCAAATATTAATAAAAACTTGGTTGTTTGGAATTATAACTTAAATTATATCTTGTTCATATTGAACTTTTTTTATTCGTGTAATACATTCATTATAAAGACTTATTAAGCAGCAATAGTGATTCAGGTAAATCGCCCAATAATGCTGTATCTTTTGCTATAACTTGTCATTGTAATACGTAATAATTATTATAAGTTACGACATTATTGTCTTTATGACAATTCACCTGCACCGCTAGTTAGAAAGAACAATCTTTGTCATGAATTTTCGTGCAGATTTAACTAAATACTCCAAAACATATTGGGTATGCATTCAAGTGAAAACTTAATATGTAATATTGTAGTATCGTTTAGAATACATTTACAAAAAAATATATTAATCACACCCAAATTAAAATTTATCAATTTGTAAGTATAAGTGTGCCACAGGTCAACTCACGGGTCAACTCATAGATCGCCCTGTCCAAGTCTACCCGGGTGATCATAATCACAACCTGGATACCTGACCCACCTGAGTATACCCGAGTTGACCTACCCGGGTTGAAACACTAGTTAGAACATCAAAATTGGCTTGGTGGATGCTGAGATATCTTTAAAAAATATTTCTTTTACTATGTAAACTTATTTACAAATGTTTACAAAGAAGTTTACATAGTAAAAGAAACATTTTTAAAGATATCTCGGCATCCACCAAGCCAATTTTGACATTCTAACCACCATTAGATGCGTCTTGACAAGCTCTACAAAAGTCTCTTAAGTTAGAAAAGTGATTAACTTAGTATAA